CCAGCCTGGTGTGTGGGCTAGGTTAAAAAAACAAACAACAACACTGAGGCATCACCGTAGGCTCGCCGTGTTTTTCATTTTGGTACTCCCAGTCACCCCCTCTCTTGGCATGGGTAGCTGACGTTTACCACTGCACCAACATAGTCAGAAGCAGTACATCTGTGTTTCGTTTCATTAGCAGCCGTACACTCAGTGCTATTCATCACATATAGGTGGGTCTCCATCGCTTGAAAACATGGACAGTTTCTTTCCATGATTCTGCACGTGATCTTCATTCATCTTCTCCAAAGCTTCAATCTAGAGAGCCAAAAATAAATCCATGCTGAAACCATAAACCGACTCCTGCGCCAGACTGTTTCTAAACAGCGTTAAAAGGCAGCTTCAGGGGACTGCTCAGGTACAGCACTGCTGTTTCAACGGTTCAGTCGCACGTATGGGGCAATATGCTCTGGAAGTACAGCTTGAAACATCCGTTCCCAGCAAACCAGCAAAACCAGTAGCACTCCTTTCTGGTTTCACGCTGTGTAACTGACAGGCATGAGTCGCAGGGAGGACTGGATGGCTGCTAAGACTTCAGCTGTATTCCCTAAAGTACGGAAGTGTCCCGTTCTCCACCTCTGAACACCTCTACTACTGTAATTCAGCCAACCCATCAGCAGCAGAGAAATTCCAAGTAATACCAAGATTACAAAAGATCCACTGCAACCGCTTTTAGTGGTGAAAGTTGAAGACAGTTATACTGAAGGGTTTTGTGCAATGAATATAACATGGTACGGCAGCTTATTATCTGCGGATTGGTATGTCTGCGTTACTTCCTCTTGTACTCCAGAGGAGATAATTTTAGTTATTAGCGACTAAAGTCAAAAGTCTGAAGTTTAAGGATGGGCTGCTCAAATTCACCTACATGTAAACAGCAACGTAAGTCTTTCCCATAAAACTTAGAAGCAAAAAAGATGACACGAACCAAGACCCACCCCACACGCCAATGCTCACAACACAGCCAGTGAGGGAATTGGTTTCTGCTTGATTAATTGTGGAGTAGAATTGCCAGGTAGCCCTTACTTCAATTAGTAAATACAGAATGTCTGACAACTTATTTTTATAAATGCCTGGCGTCAGGATGCGCACCTTGAGGAGTTACAGCTAAAATTTGAAAATTAAAAGCCAAAAGAGACCAAAGATTCCTAGTCCATATTTACAGCAGCATGATTTTAGGCTTGCAAATTGAAAATGCTAGCCTAAACTTTGAGTTCAAGTAAGTTAAAATCTAAACCATGAAAAATAAGCACTAGAACAATTGTTATTTTTAACCCAGCTTTCCTTTCTCTTCACAACTTTTAATGTACGTCAAGACAGACAACAAGGCTAGCTTTCAAACTCAAACAGATCACTAACTTTTCCTGCACACCGAAAGAAGCAATTGTCCGCAACATGAAGCCTTTTATCCTTGGGATCAGGAAAGAGGGTGGAGAGGTCTGTCAACTGAGTTCCTGAAAACGTTCGTACTAGGTCGAAATAATCAAGTTTTGAAAAAGAGATGCCGAATGATTGCTGAAGTTATACTCACACACACTAATCATACCAACTAAGGTATGACAAGAGCTGCTCTAGCTGACCACACTACAATGTTAGACACCGAGAAAGCTATACCTCTGCTTGGAAGTCCACTTCATTGTCAGCTGTAATCGTTAAGCCCGAGACAGCATTGAAGAGTTCACGCTCGTTAAGTGCTTCCGCCACACCTCCTTTCTGGAAGAACTAGTCAATATAAACACACACATTAAACACTTTACTACACAAAACTCAACAATCCTTTTCCTTACCCAGTGTCTAGTCAAAATAACATTTTTGCTTTTGTTAAAATAACTGAAAGAAATTTTAAGTTCTAGTGCCACCATTTTATTCTTCCACACTTTTTCCCTTTCAGAGAAGAACATCACAGTAGGAACAATACACAAGAGTCATCTTAGCTATAGGTGGCGGTGATCATCTTTTATGGAGTTGTATTAGTTGATTTTTAGTTAGCTCTGAATTGATTTTATCTTGGAAAACATCCAGCGTAACAGAGGATTGTCAGATGACGGGGTCCTACCTGTGAAACATTCCTACAGTCTCTGAACAAAAACTCAAGTCCATGAGGATGGGTTGGCTCCACAGACTGACTGACATCAATAAGCCAGACCTGTAGTCACAGAGACAGCGATTCAGTTGGCACTAGCGTTTCACATCAGATGAAAGCTTCCCTTCCCACATTAGGGATAAGCTCACCTTCCCATCATGCCAAAGCATGTTGTATTCACTCAGATCTGCATGGACCAGGTTGCATTCCTTATACAACTGTTGCATCATCTACAAGGAACCAAATTAACGAACGAATGAAGCACACTATCCGCCAAGTAACTATCATTTGTGTGACTATAACAAAAAAAAAAAAAAAGCAAGCTTTTCCCCAGTCACCCACCCAATTTACATCATTTTTTCCAACTCTTCAATGAAGTTCCATACAGGAAACCACAGTTTTGGTAAACGGCCAGCAAATGAAGCTTTTATCACTGAGCTTCGCTTTGGCAAGTTAGAAGAATCAGTCTGGTAAGCTCACGTCAGCTCTGCCAGCCAGCCCAAGTGCACGAGACAGATAAACACGTCCTATAAACGTACCTTGTCATTCTCACCCCTGTCACACAGGAAAGAAGCCTCGCAGTTTTAGATACCAAATTCTAACTAGCATGCGTATTCACTTGAAACATGGTTGTGTTGCTCTTGGGGTCTCAAGATTTGAGGCACAAACTGTTCATATTATCAAGCTGCTGGGCGGGTTGGTTGGGGGTTTTTTAACATCTCTAACGTAATAGTGAGTGGACAGTCAGCAGGTACATGTTTGAACCGACTACAGCAGGTAACAGGAAAGTAAACTGTCCACCACGAAATAGTCTAATTCATTCTCTGATTCTAGGTTTGCTCCAAAGCGGGGTGGGGAGGGGGCTATCCACCGGAGAGTGCTTAAACGTGGCAAGTATTCGGTGAGCACAGAAAGACTTCAGAGAACTTTCTAAACCACATACTGCTGCTATAAAAGCAGGACCACTTGCTCACAATTCCTCTGCTGCTAAGGACCTGTTTGTCCTCAAGTTCCAGCACGTTTCCCATTCAGATTAAGATTCAATTTATTTTATTTTGTTTAGTGCATAATTTCTTATTTATTCTAAGTCACACATTAAACAGCAGCAAAATAAGCCTTTGGAATCCACACCTTGAAAGCGATGCAAGCATCCCGAAAAGCAAATAAATGCCCATTTGTCCTTTCAGTTATTCCCCTAAAAGAAAACACAACCCAGAACTGGAGGAGAAATCAGCACTGTCTTACATTCAGAATCTGATAGTAGGCCTTTTTCATGTCTTCACTATTAAGTGTTACATCCTTTAGTTTAGGAGCTGGGACTTGATCCTGGCCAATGAAAGACATAACCAAGACGTGTTTCTTAAGAATAACCACTTGAGGACAAGGAATTCCTGCATGTTGCATTCTGTGGGTCAGAAAATAGATACTGATTAGGAAAAACAAAACAACCTCCCCGCAAACCCTACAGTTCTAGTTCCTGCTTGCTCATTTCCAATCTTGGAGAGCTATGTATGAGAAACTTGATCCAGAGTCAAACAGTGTTCGAAACAGACCAAACCGAAAACTGAATAAATCTATACATTTCACAGTATTTCACACCGGAAAATTCAGATCTTAAGAGTCATAAGCAGGTCTAAAAATGCTCACTGAAAACTAACCCCTTTAACAGCTAGAGCCTGTTAACTTCATGGGCTGGTAAATTCTGCTGCCAAACCACGGAAGATGCTGGCAATTCATTAAACTCGAAGAAACCAGAGACTCATTCAATCTGTGTCAGGTTGTGTATTACTTAGCCTCAAAATCAAGTCTAACTTCTATCCAGCCATAGTGTATCTTCCTTCAACAGAGAATAGGAAACCAACATGCATTTGTCAACCAGTTTGTTTTGGTTTGTTTTGCTTTACCTTGTTAAGTTATGCATTTCTTTCTCAGCCCACATACGAATAATCTTTCGTGGATTCAATTTACTGAAGCGGTCTTTAAATCTGTAGTCATCCTTAATGTATTTGTCACGGTTCTTGAATTCATTAAGAGTAGTTTTAAACACTTTGATGGCACATTCGGGAGGTATAACTTTATCTTCAGCTGCACTTCTCGTGGAAAAAAGTCAAATACATAACAAAGTTAACTATTCACATGCTTACAAGCAAATGCGTGGGTTTGGGTTTTTTATCTTTTTAAATACTGCAAGATATAGCCATTTTTAGTATGAGGGGAACAGATCTGCTTTTCTGTCAAATTTGAAAGTCAATTCAAGTTAAGTTTAGAAGAGTTCAATGATTAAGCTTATATACGAATGTTTGGGTTTTGGCATTTTGATCATACGTTGCTTATCAAATAGGTTCCATCTCCCGATTTGTTCATATTTTACCCAGCTGTCATAGCTAATAACAAGCCCTCTTAAGGGATGTACTTGCTCCAAAGCAAATGAAAAAGCCTCGCATGGGAACAACAATGGTAGCGTCACATCATTTTGTTAAGCACCACAAAGATATTGCCCCCTGAATACTACGAAGCAAAAGAACACTCCTGAACATCATTCAAGCAATTAAAAAACAAAAAAGTGCACGTTCTCTCCCCACCTCCAGGTTAACCTCTCTAAATAATTATCTGTATTTGGGGTTTAATTGGCTCTTCCATAACTCGCTTTAAGCTAGCGCTGTTTCAGCACACTACAACCACCACCAACGTGCTACAGTCCCTCCAGCACGGCAGTCTCTAAAACTGGACTCTTGCACGCCTTGCAAAGTGAACAGCACCCCAAGGCTGTTCTCGAGGCAAGCCGAAAGCAGCCAACAGCACCTCCACTGACCTGCACGGGCGGAGCCGAGAACACAGCCCTCTGCGTGGAGAGGCAGTCTTCAGGCAGCCTAAGATCACCACGACAGCCCTGCAGTGCGGGGCAGGTCAGGGGAAAG